CACATTTCTGAAATCCTAAAGCCACTGTAGCAGACGGACAGTTCATATCACAACTGCAAGTGCAGTGCTTAATCAGAACCTCCATGATCCCTGCTTAATGTGGGTGGACAGTTAGTATTTCAACTGTGGAACATTACTTAAAATGTATCTGATATTTCTGCAACTGATTCCACTTGATGTGGAAGGTCTTCAGCTGATGTAAAATAAGAAGGAAAAAACTAACAAATTCATTCATGTAAGTTGTTGGGTGTTCATAAATCTTTGGAAAACCTTACATTACAAAGAAAGAATCCATGGCTATTTTAAAAAGAGCAGGAGCACAAACAAAACAATAAATTTAAATCCATTCAGCTTGCAGTATTAAAGATGTTTCAACTTGCGTAAGGCTACTGTAAACATCCTGGCAGCTGCACCAAAATTAAACAGTAATTAATATGTGAAACACAAAATTTAATGAAAGTGTGTTCATCGTGACTGGCTGCGAGTGTGATCATGCACTTGTGCAATTTCTGCCTGTTAACAATCAGGCCAGATTTTCAGAAAATGGCAAAAAAAAACAAACTATGCCGTTCCAGCAAATACTGTCTGATTAGGCTGAAATATGAAATATCATATGGAGTATGGAAAAGAAGGCAGAAATCACAAGATGAATCAGCAGGACACACACACAACACAAGACTGTCCTATAGCCATACAAACAAAACACACCTGGACAGGCATTCTGGCTTCCTTCAACCGATGACATTCTTCAATGAATGTCCGTCCTTTAATGAGTACAACATGTATGCACTTGGGGAACCACACAGCATGTTCAACCCACGGGTCGTCCGTCTCCTCCCAGTCTTTGAGCCCGCCACCACAGTGGAAACACACAGTCTGGTCTCCCTTGCCTGCAGAAAATCACAGACACTTAATGTGGGCCTAGTATGCCTGACTTTCATAATATCAAAACTTGGATCAGCTAGAAGTAAAGCCCCTGAGCTGCATAGAGGTCAGCACTGGATCTGACCACGGACCTTCCCGAGACTCACCTGTATAGTAGAAACCGGCTTCACTCAGCTTGTCCGGCTTCTGTTTGAGGGAGCGTGGCCAGCTTTCAAACGACCGTACACGTGCATCGTACGTGTTGTAAGATGGGTGAAGTGGGCCACGGCTCTGGTGGATGCCATGTTTCTGCAGTTCCTCTGGTGTCAACAGGTTGTGGTTCAAGCCACTGCTCACCGCTGCAACATATTTCTCAGGCTGTATCCAGTTCCAGGCTCAAACTGTAGAATAGCAGGTCATGCATGCAAGCAAGATAACTCACCTCTCTCGGGGCCAGAATTCGGTCTGAACTCCAGGTATGGCCCACAGACATCATAGCTACGACTTGCTTCTTGAGCTGATGGCCCCTCAGGCAGGCCATCCTGACTGATGGGAATGTTTCCAACTTGCAAACCTCTGACGAACCCACAGGATGGGGCCCAACGTTGATGGTCCCTGAAGGGATCATCCCCTTCTTCCCAGTGCCCCACCTCAACCCCACAGAACACACATCGCACCACATCACCCTGGTTTATGTAGTAAAACCCAGCAGCCGCCAGGCGATTCGGGTCCATAAAGGGCACCACCCATCTCTCATATGTCTTCCGACGGTCAGACTCACGCTTCATGTTCAGCATTGGCCAGTAATTGGTGGGCCGCTGTACTGGTACAATGGGGCTCAAAGGAAGTGGTGGGCAGGCAGACGAGGCAGTGGAACTGACAGGCGTGCGGTCATTTGTTGGGGCATCCACATTGTCCATGGAGGATTTAAGGTGTGTGGTCGTGTTTTCAACAGGCAATGAGAGAGTTGTGCTAGTACCATTGGGAGCCATAATACAGAGGGGCAATTACAAAGGAAACTGACGTTAAGTGGCCCAGAATGCTCCTCTTATTTTCTGGTCACGTAAAACACCTTCGTGCGTTTTTCTTTTAAAATGTTCTTATATTCTTCAGTCCCGGAAAACAATGAGATGCTGGTTCTGAAATGAAGAAATGTAAAATGAAACTGAATATCCTTAATCTTCCATTTAATCAGGTCAACGCTGCATTTAGAAACGGCAACGTCGCGTCTGATGACGCTAAATTGAAACAAGGTAAAGGGAAAAAAAGCAAAGCACTAATGACGTAGCCCATGTAAATTTGGCATGCTGATTACCGATTTCCTGTACACATATACTGTATTACACACCAAAGGGCATAATACTCGTCCTAACTGTTTATGGTCTACTTCACGAACAGACTCCAAATGAATCGCATTCTTTCATTCACAACTCCACCTCGTACACGACACCTCTAATACAAAGGTAAGTTCTTACCACACAGAATTCCGCAGTACACTGATATTTCAATGTGCAGCTTTTCAAATCCTGCTTTCACTTACCCAGGCTTGTAAATTTTAAGCACAGCTTTTAAATGCTTACACGTAAGCAAACCGTTGACGACTACTACCGTGGGAAATTGCCCGACTATGGTATTCGATTCAAAGAAGATATGTACGGTGGTGCCACGTCGTTCATGTGAAACATACACATAATCGATACTGCTTTCTGTTGGACCAGACCTTTTCTAGCATCACTATTTAATTTTCACACCAATAAGTTTCTGAATATAAACTAATACTGTTATTCTCGCCTTAAGATTCAGTTACAACAAAAATTCGCACTTTGCCATAACAGGCAACGCTGACCGTCGTTAGGTCAATGTTGTCATGTTATAGGTGTGGTTCTGTTTACATAAAAGAATAAATTCATATACTGTTTAATTTCTGTCTTGATATCTGTAGAAAATCCTGGTCATAGTCCTTTCACGAATCTGTCATGTTAGAACAATTTATTATAAGTCGAAAAATCCGCCATGTTTGTGCGGTTCATTTAAAAGTCAAGATCAAGGAACGAATTAATTTCTTCTTACGATACAATATGAACATCCATGATTCAAATAATTTCCAAAACAAGCAATGCGATCCATTGTGTGATGTAAATGCTTGTTTAGTGTTCTGCAAGAAAGTTTGTATTTGATTATTTTTATTCCTTTGATTTGTATCACTAGATATTCCACATTCTATCATGGCGGCACTATGAAATTGTTACTTTCCACTTAATATCGTATACAACCGCTTTTCCAGTCGTTAGATACTACAATAATTTCACCATGACAACATATACCTCAGATACATGAAACGAAGTCTACCACGTGCTCATCAGATGAATCTATGCTGCAATAATGTTAATGACAACTGAATGCCCGAATAGTGGAAGAGGAAATGACGGAAGTTTCTAGGCAATGTCTCTGCAAGTATGTTTCCAGGGCAACCGAATCACGTGATCACACTCAACAATAGAGGATGCAGTCAGTGCCGACTGACCAGCGGTCGTAATGTCACCCAAACTTCACTTTGACAGTCGGAGGATTCCCCACTGAATGAGAGTCGTTACCAATCATAAGCCTGTGAAGACACGGCAGACTGATCAGACTTAATGCGCGCCACAGTGAATTCTAGGGTGTGGATTAGCGATAGCTCTATGATTACTTGTAGCTACAATCTGTAAGACTCAAATCCAGTTACCGATTCAAACACCGTCTCTAGTCACTAAACACGTAACACAAATAATAAAACTTTGATCCATTGTTTAGCCTGTGTCAGTTGCTACTACATACTGAATGGCACCTATGTATGAACCGTATCAGTTCTAGATATTACAAATATAATCACAGAATTGCACATTACACAAAACTCTTGGAATCATACAAAACATTATTCGAATCAGTTCTACGAAAACGTTGTGATCTAATCAACTTTATCAGTTGATGTATTTCAATTACTCCTTGGTAACAAAGAGATATGAATAACTGTACCTCGCTTTTGAATGTTTCTCATAAAATAACGCTCGGAGCAAATAAAGTAATTCGGAATTTCTTCTTAACTGCATATCAAAACATTTTCGAGGTATCGAAAATGCAGAAACTCTGTTATCGAGGAATGTGGCAATGCGTTTCTGAACGTAAATATTCACATGCAGAGCCATCTACTAGATATAATAACTGTTCTGTAAAAATAGTTCCAACATGATAAAAAGGGCCTGAGCAACGTTCTCAGACACAATCCAAATTCTCTTTTGTGACTTAACCTGTCCCTTCTTGCTGCTCGAGACATAACTCGTTCCCGGGAATTTCTGTGTTAACGATGAAACTGACCTGCAATTGCAAGCAACAATGGTTCGTTTTCCCAGTCCGATTCAACTGACTCCGGCAGCAGCTATATTTTCAACTGACTGCTGTCTTATGCGAACCGAATACTAGACACCACTTCCAACAATTCGGTTTTGCCGTTGTCATCCAGCGCTTGTAACAATTCGTTGTAACCGTAGAGACTCACTGTTGGAATTCCAATATTGCACTGCTTCCGTTGTCTAGGAATGGATGTATTCCGATTGTAGCGTCGTAGTGGTAACGTGGATCGTTGCCTAGGAAATGCGTTCTGTACTCTCTCTTTACGCATTTTGGTCTCCCTTATAAACCCTCAGTCGGACAGCGGAAAACGCACCTCGCTCCCCTGTTGCGTAACCACCGTGTGTTGCTGGGCAACGCTGCCGCTGCGTAGCAACCAGCGCGCTTCGGCTCGGCTCATTTCGGTTCTACTCGGCACGGTACGGAGTAACACCGCTTTCCTTTCTGTTGCGGAACCACGTTTCCATTGTTGCGTAACTTGGCAACCGACCATTATCAAGGGTCTGTCTTCGTGATAACTCGTTCCACCTCCCGTTGCCCTGCAACGGTTAGACATGTCACACTATTATTCACAACAGAAAATTGAATGTTGGTGTGGGATGCAGTCTCAAGTACTCCACATAACATCAGTCACTCAACGCATGATTAATCTCTCACACACAAATGCACTCGCATAAGTGATTTTTTTTTTTTGTTCTTGACAATTGTTTATCTACGATTAACTGATCGCTGAGTTCACAGAACAACTCTCAGTGACTGGATGTTAGTTTACCCAGAACCGAAGCCGGACGGCCGGTCGTTTCGGACTGACCAACAGACGAGACCAGTATGTACCCACAGAACGTCGTACAAGTGCGGTTGACAGCCTTTGGTACAAAATCAATTTAATAAATTCGGACAATCAGAATTTAAATCGTTTTCGAACAAAGGTGTGACTAAACCGTGGTATCTGTCTCATTGTCTATATTAAAATCTAGAAACGAGTGATCCCGGATCTGAATTTCGCCGATGAGACGCTTGTCAGTAAGTTGGGACATGTACGCATAGCGTGGAAATTCTAACGCCTTCCCTTCCTTTGTTCGATATCTGCAAAAACCGGAAGTATACTGGGCTTAACATATGCGTCACGAATTCCTCTCCAAACGTTCCTCGCTCCCACAAACATTTCGCAAGTTAAGCACGCATGCAGCTCTCAATGCAGACCTGTCGTCTTTGTTGTCCGATATTTACCGCAGTTCAAATACACAAATTTTAGTTCTACTTCCCATAACCAAATTTAATACAAATCCGTGCGGAGGTTCTCGAGCTGTTGCTACATAGGGTAACTAACAGGCCCATTTCAGAAATTTTTCGTGGAGAAAGCGCCAGAAATATAGCAATCGTCTCTAGGAAGTTGATGGGGGTTTCTTTCAGACCTTTACTATCTTCATGTATTCCTCAATTCGCAAAACGTCCTCCATCCACCGTCAAGGCGTGTAGTACGTAAGACTCATGCAAGAGAAAGGACGATACTGGACAGTAGAGGCGATGGCAGTAGCAGCAGCGACAACACAATGATGCGAACTTTCCAGTACAGAACTGTGTAGGCCTCCCGCACAGACACGGATGTACAAGAGCAAAATTAACCTGTGCAGTTGTGGAACTGTCGTACCAAGAAAATAAATAGCCTCAGCATAACCGGGATCCTGGGCTCTGTCCACCTTTTCGAAAACTGGATCTGTTTCCGTCCTCAGGTGCGATGTTGACCGATATGAGCTCTTTCTAATGAACACCTTTTCACCTGACAACGAAAACAGATCAAGTTTCCGAAACGCTGTAGTCTGTTCAGAATACCAGATGGTGGAGAGACCCGCCACTCTGTGATCCCAGACGTAATATATCACTGTCAGCATCCCTTAAAAAAATATCTTTTGGGACATAATACCGCCCAATCCACTGAAAGTTAGCCGACGTTTCGGAGAAAAATTCCGCCTTTATCTTCATAGTTGAAGAGCAAGCCAAGAAAGAAACCAGTACGAAACGTCTGCCGGCCGGCTTTTAACGGACTTCATGCCACCGTGTTCCTGAGAGCAGCGCAACTGCCACTGCGAGACCCTGGACCCACTCAACCCTGCAAGCTGTCCTCTTGTACCAAGGCGCTCGAGTTCCATCAAGCAGAACCTGAGCCCTCGTAACCACGAAGCATGGGGGGGGGGGGGATAATGCGGGGGGGGGGGGTGATAGCAGCATTGCCATTTAGGGAGGAGAGAAATTTTATTTTCCTGCTTTGAAGGTTCCCAGGCAGTGCCCACTCGTCATTCTGGTAGATATACGTTTGAGAGAGGGTAAAGCGTTGGGAAGTGGACTTTGTTGTTAGCTGTGGAAAATTTTGAGTTGCGGCTTTACTGCATAAGATCGGAATTTCTATATTAAAGATGGAAGGGCTGCATTCGAGTGACATTTTTATTAACACCGGCAGCAAGTTTAACGTTGCCACTGCTGGGGAGGGCTGGATATGAAGCATGCAGTGCAATGTGCAATTTGGGTACCAACTCGGCATTTGCTCTAGGATAGAGGATAACCATGCAGTTTGCCCATCGCAGGACCCTCCGGATGTTGAAGCCTAATAGCATTAGAGATCACTTCTTACCTCAAAGACCAACCGGCTAATTCTGTTAGGGAAATAATCGGTGTTTGTTGTGAGAATGATACGAAACACGTGAATACACTGTGATGCATAAATTCAGAGCTGTGAATGCTAAAGCGAAGGTATACGTATATAGTTACCATTATGCTTCGAAGGACACACATGTGTATCGCTGCGACATGCACGGCCCAGTCCGGTCACGCGGTCTGACCCCCAGATGACATCACTTTCATTGAGAGGATCAATTCATGATGCTTCGTCATCAGTTCAGAGGTTATCCACTGAAACCACATGATTATGATTCTCGCAATAAGCAGTGATCATTTCTCTATTGTCATTAAATAGTTGGTCTTCGTAATGAGGCCACGCTGTGTTTTCTGTGGCTAAAAACTTTTTTTAATATTATTTTGATAACCTTCGGGGTTTAATTTGTTCAAATTACGTAATTCACCATTAATTCAGAAAAGCAAAATTCCGTGGCCCCTGACTCAAACTCCTGCTCATTGCCACTCTGAAAAGCCACACTTCATACTCCGAAATAAAACGTTTGCCGCTTCTCCCCAACGCGGATTAACAATTCACAGATGGATCGACGCCGTTTAGTATACGCCACAAAATCGTAAAAAGAGAGACAGGATGGGGTGGTATGGAGTGGAGTCATCTAGCTCAGGGTAGTGAGTAGTGGAGAACTCTTGTGAACACGGTAATGAGCCCAAGGGTTCCGCAGAACGCTGGGAAGTTGAGTGGCTGCACACCTGGCGGCTTCTCAAGAAGGGCTCAGCTCCATGCTGTTAGTCTCTGCTCGTAATTCATTAAGCATCAAGCCATGAAGACGTATGGGGGGAGTGGAAGTATAGCTCTCACAACTTCTTTCCTGAACACCAAGGTTAGTGAACACTACCCAGGCCCTCAGCAACATGACTCCATGGAGCAGACGCCAGTCGCTCAGCCAGCCAAGGAATTTCCCAGAATTGTATGGAACCCGAAGGTTGTAAGATTTGAGGCTTTCACGGCGGTGACTATGAAGAAAGCAGTCTTCTGGGATTTGGCACCGGTTCTCACGGTCTCTTCGCTTGCAGATTTCTTATATTTTTTCTTCTACCCTGAAGATGGAGGCGATACGTTCCTCCGAAACGTTGGTTAACACCACATATACACGGTGCCAAATCCCAGACGACTGCATTCTTCAACCCGAAGGTTCATTACCGTGTTCACAAGAACCCTCCACTGGTCCCTATCCTCAGCCAGATGAATCCACACCATACCACCTCCATCCTATCTCTCTTTAAGATCCACGTT